ATGAAGACCAATTTGGTGGTGGATACCCCGGCGGTGGACGTGGTGGCGGTGGATACCCTGGCGGCGGACGTGGCGGTGGTGGTGGTGTAGGATACTGTCGCAATGGTTGTTGCAACGGCAATAACTATGAGTGCTATAGTTGCTGTTAATTATGGGGAGCAATAAATATTTGTAATGGCAAAGATGTAATACTAGTGATTAAAACTTTTGCTAAATTAATTTAATTTCTACAACTTTTTGTAAGAATTATGAAATTAAAAGTCATCATGTATGTAACGTTTGTTAATTATGCTATGCTGTGAGACAATATTTTCCCTAATTTGGTGTTTCTTTCTCAATTATTTAATCAGATATTATGTCGTTCAATTTGAAGAGTGATAAGTTGAAATTATGGTATTAATCGAAAATTTATGAAAAAAGAGAAGTCAATTGAGATATTAATATGATATATAATTGCGACATTATTTTGAAAATTGAAGTCGTAAGCTTTTACTCTATATATCATACCAATTTACTATGACGAATGCTATCGAAATCAAACTTAAAACTATGATTACACCAAATTAGTTAATTTGATATGATAGTATAGTATTTTTGAAAATCGAGAATCGAAATTTTCAATATCATGAACACCTAGACTAAAGGAATTTGGTAAATCCAATTTTGACTATAATCTATATATCCTTATAAATAAACCAAAGAACGACAAAATTAATGCCACCATATATTATAGTAAGTAATCCCACATAACATTAATTCTCAGTAAGGCGTGAAAATCTTCATATTATTACCAATGGTATAATATAATAATAAACTGAATTATCAAGATTGATCAGAATTCTTTAGACTCTGATCTTCAGACGTAATACACAGAGACGAACAAAATTCTCCAGATTCTGATCTTCAGACATAATACACAGATGACTTCTCCAGATTCTGATCTTCAGATGTAATACACATATGACTTCTTTAAAGTTTTATCACCCGCTTTGATACCATGAAGATATTCACTATGAATTATAAGAACAATAGAATTGGAAAAGAAGAAAGTATTTGTTATTTTTCCTTTTTAAGCAGTAGTTATACAATGACTAAATCCTATGTATTTATATTTTCCTTACTAACTAACTTACCTAACTTTTTGGTAACTACCTTCTAACTAACTTCTTGAAGTAGTCCTAACTAACTCTAAACACTCTCCTTCTTTTTTAACTATCTCATTACAAACACTCTGAGGTTGGAAGAGGGGTGGATGAAGGTGAGGGGGATGGAGGGAGGGGGGGGGTTGAGAGCCGGTCGGAGACTGGGTTTCGAGAGGAGGTGTGGTGCATGGTAGGATAGGGACGTAGAGACGAGGGTGAACTAAAGAGAGACAATCAACTTAGAATAACACTAATATAAAATTTATTTTTTCTAATTTTCCATCATGTATACCATTTTTAGAGAATATAAGTCACTTACTTTTTTTTGATAAAATATTTTTAGAAAATTTTGACAATGAACACAAAAGAGTCACATGACTATGTCTATTGCAATGCAATATATTATATTCATTTTTGTATGATATAATATACCATTTCCACACAAGAGCCGTCGACTACTTTGCTAACAAAAGATTTTGGTGATCTTATAATGTGTCCAAAATGGATAATGAACCCACATAAATACGTACAGTTGAGTAATAATGTTTTGTATTTTTGAAGGTCTGAACTCCTCTAGTAGACCTTCTATTCACCACTGTCTGAGGATCATTAGACATACAATCCTGTCCTTGAACTGTTTCCTCCACTGTATCTTGTTCAATATTATCAGTCAAGTTTCTGTCTAATTATGTATCACATTGAGTTTCTTGTACATACCTATGATTAAATTTGTTCTTGTCACTCATGTTATCATAGCCTAACTTTCATTCTACATTCAGCATATCATTATCCAAATGATTTACAAACGGACCTTTTTCACTTTTATCTAAAACAGTTAAGAAAGGAAAGACCGACTCTCTGAATATCACATCTCTACTCACAAAGAAGCTTTTGGAAGTCAAATCTAACAAAATATAACCCTTTTGAGTTTCTGAGTACCCCATATGTACTGCAGCCTTTGTCCTGGATGCTAGTTTATCACTTTCAGTTAACAATTTAGCATAGCATAAACAACCTAATATTCTAATATGAGATATCATTGGCTTAACACCATACATCATTTCATATGGAGATTTACCTCCCAGAACTCTGCTAGGTATTCTGTTTATCAAGTAAGCAGTTGCAAGTATACACTGACCCCAAAACCTTATAGGAATATGGCCCTGAAACCTTAGCGCTCTAGTCACCTCTAATAGATGTCTATGCTTCCTTTCAGCCACTCCATTTTGCTGTGGAGTATAAGGACACGATCTTTGATGTACTATACCTCTTTCTTTAAACAAGGTAGCACATATAGCATTCATAAATTCAGTTCCATTATCAGACCTTACCTTCATTACCACTTTGTCAAATTGTGTCTTGACAAACTTCAGAAAATAATCTAAAGCTACACACACATCTGCTTTACTTTTTAATAGAAATAACCAACTCATCCTTGAGAAATCATCAACTACTGTGAGAAAAAATCTATTACCATCAAAAGTTGCCTGTTTGTATGGACCCCATACATCCAAATGAATCAAATCAAAAATTTGACTACTTTTAATACTACTAACATGAAACATATTTCTAGTTTGTTTTGCACAAGGACATACAGTACACTCATTTAGCACTTTATTCACTACTTCTGAATTAACAGGAAAAACTTTACTCAACATTTGTGCAGATCCATGTCCTAGCCTTTTGTGACATACATTCAATTCCTTTTCTGATAACTGTTGTATCTCTAGCTTCTTTTCAGGTACAACAAATGACTGGTGCTTTAATTGATCTTTTGATAAATTCCTTAGCAGTAGGTACAAACCATCCTCCTCTTTTACCAACTTCCCTCACCTTGCCAGTGTAAAGCTCCTGAAACACACAAAAATGAGGGAAGAAAGTGACTGAGCAATTTAACTCCTTAGTCACCTTACTCACTGATAGCAAGTTGTACTTGAACTCTGGTATGTGATAAACATTTGTAATCACACTTCTTGGAGATATGTTACATAATCATGTATGAGACACATATGACACTTCCCCAGTAGGTAAATATATAGGTTTTGGCTCTTTAACCCTGATAACAGACTCACTAGTAAGCATATCCAAGTTTAATACCATATGATTAGATTCCCCAGTATCTACAATCCAGACCTGACTATTTTCAGAAATTAACAAGACTTTACCTGCAATATTAGCCTGAGTTTCATGCGCATGGCTTGAATCTTCTGATTTCTGTCCACCTTCTTGATTCTGCTTCAACATTTGAAGAATTTGACTATACTGATCTTTGGTGAAATTACATCCTTGTAACTGGTTTGAACATTCCTCTATATTACTCATATGATTTTTCACAGGTACATTAGTGTTACCTCCATAGTTGAAAGAAACTCTACCAGACACATCCTCATAATCATCCTTTTTTGTGTTGTTAACATCATTTCCAACCATGTAAGCTCCAGTTCCTGTACTGATATTCACTTTCCTTTTTGACTTGAAATCAGATGGAGTTTTAGATAATCCGAGACTCAAGTCTTAGTTTATCTTGAATGTTGAGCAGAAACACTAGTAATTTATTATTTTTCCAGAAAAATTACCAATAATTAGATGTAGTTCTTTCAACTTAACTCAATTTGAAGTTGTTTTAAATTCCAAGCACTTTTAATGAACGTCAAAGTTTATGAACTTCATACAGTTTGCAACATTTGTTATACTAATCCCTCTTCAATTGGTGTTAAGGGTGCTTCATAGATTGTAGAGAGGCTAAAGATTATGCTATATAGTGGACCCATATATTATCCTTGATGTAATCTTTTACTGAACTTCAAATCTATACTTTTGCTTTTCCCACACTCTGTTAGTCTTATTTGTGTGGCCGCAATGGTAAATCGCTATTTGAAGTTATATGCTTGTGAATTTTGATACCGAAGTAGTTTCTACCAGTCTAGCTAATCTGGTTTTCTTCGTTTGCTCTTATTTTGTGGTGAACAGAGTATAGAAGCTTTGTTATGCTTTTTGAATAGTCAAAAAATTTGATTGCACTCATCCTTTACAATCTTTAGAACAATGAATCAGTATCTGCTATTACGCTCACCTTTGTACCCTTTCTGGACAACTTATGCATATTGACACTTTACCAGTACTAACCAAATCAAGAGGGTTTTAAATATGATAGGTACTTTCCGTCTTTGAATAGTGTTACACTCTCATATGATAGAGTTATTGGAAGACATCTCATAGGCTATGAATGATAGCTTTGATCTACACTCTTGAGTCTTGGTTGTGCTAAAGCAACAACAAAAATATGCTTTAAAAATACGTGGTCGAAAAAGTTACTTTTTTACTATGAAGTTGTCATATAAATCTACTGATCTATAAAAGTGTGAACACAGAGAGGATTCAAAGATATTACAGTAATCAGCCTTAGTGTATAGGCTTCTAAAGTGCCATTATATTTTCAAGGGAAAAATGACAAATATACCCCGAACTATCGTAAATGGTATGCAGATATCCTCCGTCATACTTTTGGGACATTGGTGTCCCTGCCGTCCAAAAACAATAGCATATATGCCCTTCACTCTAACGAAAGACTAAATAGGGACACGTATCCGTCGATCTGATATTTAATGAATGTCGGTCGGTGGATAAGATTATGACACGTGTGTATGTCCGTTAGTATAAAGGGTATATATGCTCTAGTTTTTGGACGGCAGGGGCACCAATGTCCCAAAAGTATAACGGAGGGTATCTGAATACCATTTACGATAGTTCGGGGTATATTTATCCTTTTTCCCTATTTTCAATCATAATTAGCCTACGGGGTTGTCATTGAAAAACTCACACTTCATATTATCTTTGAAGTAGACTATCTTAAGAAAACAATCTGCTCAACATGTTTGAAGCACCATAAGCATTTATGGTATTATCTATTCCAAGCAGGTAATAATAACATCTTGTTTTACTACTGCAACACCTTTATGGTAAATTACAAATTAACAATTATAACTACTGAATCTTTTTTGCGTTTTGCTAGGTGTGTGGTTGTATAATAAACTTATTTTTTTATAGAGTAAAAAGGAAATATAATTTTTTTTATTTGAATGTGAAACATACAACTCTAATATTGACCATTTAATGTGCGAGTTATAGCACCTCTACTTTCATCAATTATTTATGGCTCAGTTACATCGGCTAAAGC